CTCCCGACAGGGTGATAGCATTAATGCATGGCTTGGCGTACTCGAGACAACTAACCACGAATGGTAGCGCGCTGCCATCACAGAGAGTGTATACCGAAAGACTCGAACCCGTGATGGTTTTTGCCAGTCCACATCTCTCATCCGCCCCTCTTTCCTTGATCCTCCTCAGAGCGGAGAAGACGCTTCGTGCGTAGCATGTCGATTTGTTATTTTGCAAGTGACGATATCGTGGCTTCTCCTTGAGGGCAGTGAGGAAGCAAAGGGAGAGGGGCGCAATTTTCCACTAACGTCGGTCAATTTTACTTTAGTACCGAAATATGATCGTTCTGCTCCATTTATGCGCTTTGACCCATCAAAACCTAATTTATTATCTGAAGATTGTTCATTGGCTATTTCTCTCAGACGCGCCTTCCTAGCTGGGGTTCTTTCACGCATGATAGTGGTCCGATTACGTGTGGTAACATAGTTAAGTGAAAACAACTGATGAATGAGTGCCATTTAGTCAAACAACGTTTAGAGCAACACACTACATAATTGGATCGGCCCAGTTCATCAAAAATACGAAGTCGATGTTCGAATCAGATTGAATGATATGAAATCTCCACTTTTAGTAACCATTCCAGATGTGTGGAGGTATGAAAAACTCTAGCACTTTGAGTTTAGAGCTAGTTCAGTCCAATTTTCCTATATGGTCAGTGACGCTACTTTTGCAACTTTATAAGATAAAAAAACATATATTTTTGCTGAACTTACCAAACGGCTGCGACAATGACGAGTAGGATTGCTAGCGTGTTCATCGTGAACTGAGTGCCATACGAACGTGTGCACACCCAACTTTTTAAACGGTACTGGTCGAGAAGGGCGGAAACTGTGACCGTTGACTTTGACTAATCAAAACTATAGAAAGGAATTAACAAATCGCGATAGTGTATAGTAAGGTAAATAATAAGAGCGAACTTGGTTCCGGTTAGCTGATAGGTGGGAAGATGACTCAGCTTCCTACAAATTTCGCACTGATCGTTAGGCGTGAATATGTAGGTGCGTTTTCGTAAGTTTTCTGATAGTTCTGTAACCAATTCTTTTGCTTTCTACTTGCTCTCTGTTCTTCTTAGCAATGTTTAGCTTTAATTCATTCAGAACATAAGCCAGCGTTTTCGCGGACGCGAAGGAGGGCGCTGAATGCACCGCCTCCCCGACCTTACCCTGCTTGACTGCCACAGCGCGACTCGGTCGAGGGCGCTGT